CTCACTTGGTCGATTCGGGTTTCAGCTTCCGCCAGCCGGTTATCCGGTTGAGCAATCCTATCCTTCACATTCCTTATCTCTTTCCCGAAGATAGCGTTAAGGTCCTTCATGACGAGCATCTGTTCTTTTAACAGACTTGCCTGTTCTTCCTGTCAGAGGGCCTGTTCTTCCTGTCGGAGTGCCTGTTCCTCCTGTCCGCACTGCAGATGCTCTTCCAGCAGACGGGCCATGCACTCCTGTCGGCGAGCTGCAGATACAGGAGCGTCTGACGGGTCAGGCTCCGTGGTTGGCAGCTGACCCTCCTACGTGTCCTGACGTCTGCGGCGTTGCACCACCAAATCGTCTCTGGTTCGTCTCCTACTGGCGCTGACTTCGGGTACATCCGTACCCGAAACCGTAACCCAACTTTTCGTCGTTAGGCAAAATCGGCATGATTTTATCCCACTTCCGATACTAATTTTTACGAGCTCAGGTTTCGTGACAATAAAAACTGCCGATTGAATTACCAAAATTGACACTAATTTACCGTACACCAATTACAACTTAAAACACACTAATAATTAATCTCACTTAACACTTAGTTCGCAACTTAACTTATTCACTTGTATCGCCAATTCAATACTGCTTCGGTCTCGGTCTTTACTGGTCTTATATAGGCCTTTTCCACTGAAACATCTTGAATGTTTGAGCACATATCGGTCCCAACCGACTAATTGTAGAAAGTTCTCTCCAAGTTCTAACACTCGATACTAGATAGCGTTAGTAGGAAAGTTCTAGCATGAAATTTTCTAAAAATCTCTCCTTCTGTTACTTGATATTATGTAGGCTCGAAATTAAAATTTTACTGAATTTATAAGATAGCTTGTGAAATATGCATAGGGGTAACCCACAATGTGGGTGAAAAAATTTAGGTAAGTAGATAGTATAGAATTGCGATAAAACCCGACTCGCAATGAACAAAAATAAATATGTAATTAATAGAGAGAATTTAAATAGCGAAGCTTGTGGCCTTCGACCATCGAATGTAAAGGGATGCTGGTTGAGAGAAAGGGAATTCGTTAAAATAAATTGCACACCTACCTTGTCACCACCGATCTCGTAGAACTTTCACGCTCCGGAGGTAGGTTTTATTAAGGTGAAACCTGTTTCCAGAGCGTGGACGAGCTAAAGCTTCTTCCGGCCACAAAACTTCAATAATTTAATATAAATTATTAAAACGAAGAATTAAAATAAAGAAAAGAAAAATGAACTTACCAAACTCTTTAAACTCACATAAATCAATAAAACGCGACTAATGATAATAACACAAAAAACATAAATAGCTTTAGAAGCACTAAGAGAGCCTTCAAGAAACTCTTCAAAAGAAATAGATGTAAAAACTCGAAAACAACTCTGAAGAGACTAAGTCAAAAAAGATGAGATAAGCCATGCTACCAAATTTTATACATAACTATATAAAAAGGAGGAAGACGAGAATGAATTGGAAGCAGAAATTGTTAAAAATCTAGAGTAAATACATTTAAACCAATAAAAGAAGAATAAATACTCTCGCGTATAAAAGTACCAAAAAATTTAAAGAGTCCAGGCCCCGATGGACTAACAAAGGAAGCCCTTAAATAAGGTGCCCGTATCACAATTGGATATGTAACACACCTCCTTAATATGATATTAGGGCCAGAAATGGTACCAAAGCAATGGTGTACATCTGACATTATTATAATTTATAAAAATGAAACCCCTTTAACATCAGAAACTACAGACCTATAAGTCTACTGACAAGAATGTGCAAGCAACATCTATCATACTAAAACGAACTAAAGAAATTGACGTTTCTCAGGCGTATAATAAAATAAGCAGGTTTCCGCTCAGAATTCAGCACAAATGACCACATTGTCCACATATAAACTGTAAAACAACTAATAGAAAAATAGAATGGTTTTAATAAATCTCTATACATCGGATTTGTAGACTACGGCAAAGCTTTTGATAGTTTCAAACATGTTTTCATCTGAAATGCATTAAAAACGTTAAATGTAAACCATAAATACACACACATCATAATAGACTTAAATAGTACAAGTAGGGTTAAACTTGAAAAGAGAGGTGACCACATAAATAATAAAAAGAGGAGTCAGGCAGGCGGTACATATAAACTGTAAAATAACTAATAGAAAAATAGAATGGTTTTAATAAATCTCTATACATCGGATTTGTAGACTACGGCAAAGCTTTTGACAGTTTCAACCATGGTTTCATCTGAAATGCATTAAAAACGTCAAATGTAAACCATAAATACACAAACATCGTAATAGACTTAAATAGTACAAGTAGGGTTAAACTTGATAGAAGAGGAGACCAAATAAAAAATAAAAAGAGGAGTCAGGCAGGCGATCCTTTTTCGCCGAATTTTTTCATTGCTGTGTTGGAAAATATATTTTAAAAGTTAAATTGGATAAAATATGGCATTAATATTAATAGTCGTCGTTGAAATCACCTTAGGTTTGCAGACGATATAGTCATATTTGCTAAAAAAGCTAAAAAACTTAAGGATGTGCTATACTCACTAGACCAAGAAAGTTCAAAAGTAGGTTTAGAAATGAATGTAAGCAAGACTAAGATAATAACCAACAGTCACAACATACACATCAACGTAAAAGAAAACAACGTAGAATACGTAAAAAACTACATTTACTTGGGGAAGCAATTATTCTTCATGAAAACTAACAACTAAGATGAAGTAGAAAGAAAATGAAAAATTGCATGGGTAAAATTTTGGTCACTAAAAGAAATTCTTAAAGGAAATTACAGTATGAAAACAAAGAGTATTGTAATGAACACCTGCCTCTTGCCTAGTCTATTATACGGCTGCCAAACTTGGACATATTATATAAATAAAGCGAGTCAGAAAATTATACAACACATAGAGCAATGGAAATGAGCATCTTAAATATAAATATAATACATAAAGTCAAGAACAACATAATAAGACAAATATCAAAAATAACAGGTGCACTCACGCACGCTTTAAGGTTAAAGTGGAAATGGACAGGGCACGTCTCACGATACCCAAATAATAGATGGATAATACAAATCGTTTTGAACACACGATGGAAGAGACCGGTATCAAAGTAAAACCACATAAACGGTGGGCTGATAACAAAATACAATATGCAGAAAAAGACTGGGTGAGTAAAAGTAAAAATAGAGATTTCTGGAATCAGATGATGGAGGCCTTTACTCAAATGAATGGGATCCATATCACTGAAAATATACACAGTTAACCGTACAAACAACAACTAATACAAAATAAGCTAATAATACTAACAATAAGTACTAAGCAACATTGAAATGTAAAATGTTAAAAAGTAGGGATAAGGAATAAAGAGGCTTTATTACTTTCTTATCTGGGTGAGTTCCATAAAATATACATCAATATAAATAAAATAAAATAAATACATAAAAATGCATAGATATATACAAAATCCAACCAGATGAAAGTCCTCGTCAGGGGAGACAAAACGGCCGACGGTTAGGGGGAAAGAGAAAGAAACCGGCGTACAATGCTGATGGTATCGAGGAGCACCGCCTTCTGCATTTGATCCCCAAGCGGTCCGTGACTGAGCCCCAGTCGCCTCATATGACCCGAGAGGCTGACCGAGATTAGCCCATTCGCAGAGACGACGGTCTCGATTTCGGTCGACAGACCACCCCACATTTCCGTCACCTCGTGAGCCAGGCCCAGATATTATGTTTGCTTATCTGTTTCGGCTTTCACTAGGTTCTCGTCGTATGGAATGGCAATGAAGACCAAAAATATCCTTGATTTTACCCGGTCTATCAGCACAATATCAATTATATGTGTCTTATTCACACCGGACAAAAGGCTGTTAAGCACTTTGGTCGCGTGCGTAAAATACGTCGCAAAATGACTATACCAGCGTCATCATTACCCATACCCACAGCCATACCGACGTTCTATGACATACCCAGGTATCGTTATGTTTTAGCCTCGGAAAGGGTCTTTAAGTTGACGGGCATAGAGAAGTCTATGCCATCAGAGTTACTCCCCCCTCCCCTTTCAACATGGAGGACCACACACTTATCCCCCTCAGCTCCATTCCAATAGAATTGCTAAATTCCCCAATGATGTTTAGCAATTGCATAAGATGGGAGCGACTGGAGGCAAATAACTTGAAGTCATCCATATAGAAAAGGTCGGTCACTTTTGTGCCTCCTTTCCGAAGCTGAAATACCCTCCCGGAGCCCTCTTGTAAACTACTGAAAGGGTTCGAAGATCGGCAGAACCAGATTAGACAAAGACTGTCGCCCTGCAAAATACCCCTTCTTACCCTTATGTGGCTTTCCGCAGCCGTCATCCGCTTGCCTAAATGACCAAGGATCGTACTCCACTGCTCCATACACTGCTCAAGGAACTGTACAGTCAATCGTGTACAACTCGAGGACCCTCTTTTGCTATGTATGGGGCACCGAGTCGAATGCCTTTCTGTAGTCTTTCCAGGCTGTGGAGAAGTTTCAACACTTTGCCAATGATCGCGTCAATGAGGATTTGTTTCTTGGTTCCACAATCACCGCCCCGACATCAATTTTGCGTGCGTAACATTACCTGATTTAACTCCAGGTGACGAGTGATTCTCGCACACAAAATAGATGTCAGTGTCTTATATATGGTGGATGGACACGTGTTGGGGCGGTATTTGCTCGAGTTTGTAGTATCCTGGCCTTTAAGAACCCTAAAGAAAGTTAGTGATCCCAGTAGTGAAGAGGCTTGGGAGCTAATTCTGATCGAGAGCCTCTTGAAACTGTCGGGCGAGTACAGTGTGACACACTACGAACCCCTTCAACCAGTAATGATGCAGAACGTCGAGCCCCGGACTTTTCCAGTTAGGGGTTCTACGGACCGCCTCAACCAGGTCTTCCGGCGTTATGGTGACGGAGTCCATAGGCGTAACACTGGCACCTTGGCTCACCACAACTTCCATCTAAGGGCCCTCGCTGTGGTTTACGGGCTCTGACCACAGGCCACGCCAGAATGCGATAGTGACGGCCTGATCCAGTCTTGGGTCCGCTCCATATACCTCTGGTCGCTCCAATGATTTATAAAGGCCCTTCTGATCACTCTGGAAGAGACGATTCTGGTTGAACCGCCTTGACCTCTCGGTAAATCGTCGAATCCGCTTCCCGCATGCAGTGATTTTTTGCTTCAGGTCGTCTTTGCGCTCCGTTAGTTTCTGTGTGATATCCGGTTGGAATAAGCTGATATTTGTCCCAGCAAACGCCATTCTAAAGTTGGGCACAACCGTCGGTCTATTATCACCCAACCTGATGCTTGTTAATCTGCCGATAAGCGCCCTTGCCTTTTCAATACTGTCCTCAATTCTCTTTATCCAAGCTGGGATGGCGCTACTTTGTTTAGTAGCGCGTCCGGACACTGGAAGTTTTGTGCCAATAATACGGCAAACTACCACTGCGGGGCCAAAAAGAATTGAGTCCGTCTCGCAAAGGTCCCGGCTGGCTTTCAAATACGTCACCAGTATTGGGTTAAGAGCCCTCACAATTTCACTTCTTTAGGGATATGCGGGGAAGTAAGTAAGAATATTTTCGAGAGGCATGCCGCGCGTTTCTGAAATCGCCTCTTCCAATATGCTCCTCATTTGCTCTAGTTCGTGGGAGACCATTTCATCATCGTTCGAATCAACCACAACTGGAAGATTCATGGCGGCTTCCACGTGTGGTTGCTGTTTTGTCACACGAGGAGCCGCATCCCCAGCCATAGCCGATTCATTCGACGAGGGAGTGGCCTCCCATCGTCGTCGCTCGAGCTCAGCATCAACAAATATTTTTGATGTACCGAACTCAGACCGAGTTTGGCCAGGTCTTTTTCCGTGACGGGAATAGACGGCTTCAGCTCAGCAAAAAAGCAATGCATTCGAGCCTGATACACTGTCCCTGCAGTTTCTTCCACTTTCGCCCTATAGTACGCCCGTAATTCGTTTGCGTTCATATTTTTTGTCCCACCATGCTGCTTGTCGATTCCGACAGGACACTGCCGACATCAAGCCATCTATGAGTTATTATATAATTATTATTATTACTAATACGCGGCGTGATCTCTTCTCCTTCAGTTATTGATTAACTGGTGTGACTGACCTCAGCGATATAATATATTTACTAGTCGTGCGGTTGAGGGGGATACAAACGCCCAAAATATATGAATTTTAAGGAGGGTAAATTTAAATAAAATGCTTTATATACGTTAAATTAGATGGCGCCTACAAAGATAATGTTCTAATGAGTGCTTTAGTACAATAGTGATAAATAAAATTTTTTTTGGAAATTTTAGATTTTAAAATGATGTTTTCCGAGAATCAGTATAAGAAAACCTACAAAAATGTGTTAATATAGAGTGACCTAATGAATGACCCGTATAATGCATTCACATAAAAAATTTCGCTGTCCATTTCGTTTGAAAATTTTCTAATTTCAATTCAGTTATACTTATCTAAAACATAAAATATACACGTAATATAAAGTATACGTCAGAAGTTGTATTAAAGCACCTTTTATGTTTATAAATATGCAGCCGACTTGGCTACTAGCCCGAGGTCAGGTAACAACTTTGAAAATAAATCTAGATAGAAATATTATTTTATATTATGGAAGATAGAATGGACATTGTTATGGTAATATATGTGACGCTTTCTGATATTTTCATCTTTATGCATTTCCGATACAAGCATATTGTAAATTTTTGTAGTAATTCTTTAAAAAAGGAACACTAGATTAAATGGATATAATAATCGAGGAATATATTAGAGATTATCTTTATCTTTTTTCTTTGTCGGCCCATAAATAACCACTGCTGACTTGTGATGTTGAACAAATGATTTGCCTTAATCGTCACGCGAAAAGCCATTTGATTTTTCGGTAATTTTACATATGTTTCTCCTATGACACCTGCGGAACGAAATGGGATGTTTATTTTCTTTTACCACATAACCAATTTGAGTTCCCCTAGATGATTTTGAAACTGCGTCATCATCCGACAAACATTAGAAATGTTAATAAAAAACTATGACATTGCGGAATATATCCATAATAGGTGCTTTATACACTGTTGCATTGTATAGCTATAGTATCTTATCGAAACAAAGCATCTATACGATTTTTTATTTGATGTTGGTTGCTGGTTTTTTCAATCTACAGTTGCTATTTACTGTCAAATAGATTGTTAGCACTTTTATCACTTTAACATCATATCAATTAAGCTTTAAATAAAAAAAGAAAACAGAATTTAAAACGTAACAAGAAGTAAATAATTCATACACAATAACTTCCAAAGACGGTGTAAAGACAAAATCCACCTTTATAACACAAATATTGTACGATTACTCTTAATTAGAGATTTAAAAAAGAAAGCCCGTGAAAAAAGTGTGCAAACCACCGAATGATTTTCTACAATTTGTATTCAATCGTAGTTTTCTGTATAAAATCCTCAGCAAGGTAAAAATAATTTTAGACACTCTCATTAGGAAGAGTGTACCTAAAATTGAAGTGTAATATTGAAAATCGTAAAATTCACAGCTTCTAGTTATTTCGTAATGATAAAGCTTATTTCCATTGTTGACTTTGAGCGTATTTGTTTCATAATTACATTTATTGGTTACTCCAATGTTATTTAGTAAATTATTATTAAAAAGAAACCCACTGGAGTTCTTTTTTTTTTAATAAATAAGATGTATTTATTATTTTTATGTGATATAAAACACGATAGAATTCCTTATTATAATTTTTTCATCGTAAGTTTTTGACAGATTTATCTGTGGTCAATCACTCAGTAAAATAATATTTGCCCTAGTTACTACGCTTTGCAGGCAGGTTGGCAAACGCAGTTTTTTATTATGATTATTGTGTTCTAATTTGAATGGCGATGCTGCCTATCTCCTGTTTCAGTACCCCTATGTCGTCTTTTTCAAGACAATTTTTATTTAGGATCTATTTTATGATAGCTCAATTTTTCTAAACATACAATTGTAATATAATAAAATATTAACAAAAGTAAAAAAAAGTATGTCTTCTCTCGTGATGTCTTGTTGCATTTTTATTTATAGAAAAGTAAGCATACGACTCACCTGATGGTAAGTGTTGACCGCCGTCCATGAACAACTGCAACACAAGGAAGAAGATGAGATGCCATCCTTTAGCTAGTAAGATTTTATAATTTATTAATTATTTCATTGTGCATATATGGTTCATAATATATAGTCCATATATTTTATATAGTCGTGTTAATTTGTAAGTTTAAATTAAAAGATTGGATATTAAGCAACTTTATATTTAAATGGTGATTAGAATTGTTATTTATTTATACCTCATTTTTATTTAGGAGGTGAAATTAATGGGTGCGTCCAATTTGTTCGAAATGTATTTTGCATATTACATACACATCGTATATATGACAAGAGAAATAACAAACTGCTCGTAAAATTTTATTTGATGCTAGCGAATCATCCCAGCGTCGCCTGGCTCTATAAACGTGGCGTACTTTAGATTTAAATATATAAAGGAAAATTATTATATAAATTTTACTATGTCTTAAAAATAAAAACTGCAAGTTTTTCACATAAAATATAACCTAGATCACTCCTGTTATTGCTCTATATATCTGTGATAAACAAAACACGAATGACATTATTTTCTAAAGAATTCCTTTTTTACGTGGTAAATCTACTGGTTTCGATGATGTTGGTGTTGTTAGCCTTTTGGCTTTTACAGCTTCATCGGCGTCAGAGTCTTAAAAGAAAAAAGAAAAATGTCTGCATCGATCTGCATCGTTACTAGCGTAACGATGTTAGTCTACGTCAGTTGAAAGAGCCCGTAAATGAGTTAACTGACGGCCGTTCTAACAGGGGCTCTCAGACCCCCGGCTCTGACGGCTAACTCGTATCGTTCGATGTTCTGGGCGGTGAGAACCACCCAGGGACGCGAGTGTACGGCGGTTGTGAAGGGCGTCTCATCCGATGTAAAAATTATGCTTGTTGCGCTAGGTAAGTGGGTAGTGTTCGTGTGTGACTAGCCAGTGACATTTGGGTCGTCGGAATCTAGCGGAATAGAGAATTCAATTAACGTTACGGGGCCTCCGGAGGCTTTCCGCAACGTTTGGAGTCGGGGCGTATATGGCTGTGTTTACCACTAATGGGTTGGGATGTGTCTCGGCCTTCTCAATGTGGCGCTGAGACATTTCCTTGAAATACTCGGAGATCGTCGGGAATTGACAGTGTCTGTGTAAGTCGAAGTTTCGCTGGTATCACCAAGCTCCGGTGGCTATGCGGATGAGTATGTTTTGGACGATTTAAAGGTCGTTCGACGACGATGGGCAGCGTTTGCGATAACAACGCTTGCGTAGGACTCGATGGGATGGGACAATTTGTTCTTGCTGTTAACTAGTGGGTGCAGACGACTATTGATGAATTTGGCACGGTTGCGAACGGAACGGTATGCTTCACGAAGGTCATGCCGTAGTCGTAAGTGACCCCTAGATATTTGGCCGTTGATTGTCAGAGCATCTGGAAGCCGAACACGGTGATCGTATCTATCGATTTATCGGAATTTGTATTATGACGTTTGAAAGTAGGGGTCCTTTGAAAGTACACTTTACTCAGCATTCACTTCGATTTTCTACAAGCGGAACCAATTGCCTAAGCGGTTGACATCTGCTTGGATCATCTTGGTGAGAATTCTTTTGTTCTGGTGGGCGACAAAGAGTGCCATGTCATCGGCGAAAAGAGCAGTGATAACAACTGGGTCTTCAAGGATGGAAGAGGAATTGGAAGAGGACAGAGCCTTGAGAAAATCCAGCCTTGAAAGGACGCTTAGACGAGCAGGTGTCCTCTGTTCTGTAGAGAGAGTGGCGGTTGGCAAGGAAGGCTCTGTTGGAATAAAATGAAATAAATGATTTTATTCTATATAGTCTAGTGTGTTGGCGATAGTTGTAGGTTAAACTAAACTACATCTATCAAGATGTACGTACGTTTATTGAAATATCAACAAGTATACTTAAAACTAGCTTACTTATAGAAATAAAAATACACGTAACTACGTCACAAACATTTTGTAAGTCTGATATTTGAAGGGACCCACTTTTTTCATTTTTGTAAGTGCGTAATTAAATCATATTTAAATATTATTGCGCATTTATTTTATATCATCACATGCCCCCCTAAAAATGACCGTTACACCTTCTTCCTAGAGAAAAAAAAAGATGTCACATCAACTCTTTTTT